TAATATTTCTAACTCTTGCAACATGATCCTTGGTGGGTAAAATAATTTTAGTTTGATTCAACAATTTTAAAGCTTCCGTTGGCAATTTTACCGGTTGTGAAACCAGATTTTTGAATAAAAACCTATCATGAGCTACCACTGCCAGATTTGCAGTCTCGTTGTTGGCAGCAACTTCCCTGTTATTCCCAACCAGCACCAATGTCCTTTCATGATATACTCTTTTTTCAGGCTTCAGACAGTCACGAGCAAAGTGACCAGGCTCATGACAATTGAAGCACCTCAACTTTCCTTTGTTGAACATACCTTCTTATCTTCATTCATCCCCTAATTATTCTTTCCAGTTATCTTTGCAAATTGATTTGCCCTAAACATCGCCATTGCGATTTTCCATGTAATGTCCATTTCTTCAACATCCTTTGGGTGAATCTGATCAACATCAGCAAAAGAAATCTGAGGAGGCAATTCTCCAGCCACTAAAGCCATGTTCTCTTCAGCTTCTTTGGGATCAAAGGTGGTAAAAGGAGCTTTTCAAGAAGAACTTGCATGTGGATAAGGAATATATGGTGAAACAACATGGTATGGTGGTTGTGGAATAGAAAAAGCTTGATTTTTTGGAGTGGTAAAGGATGAAAAGACATTACTCGATGAAATCCCAAGCTTTTCAGTAGAATAGGAGTTCACATGAATGATTTCCCTCTGCTTGTCATCAGGATCACAGGCTTTAATGATTTCCATTGTTTCTATAAGACTGAGTCGGCTGAGATCCATTGTCTTCTTGATAACTAAGACATTCATGTCCCCATGACTTAGGGAGAGAGTTCAGCAATTTCTTGTTATTTACTGATCATGGCACTGATATTCCAGCATAACTCATCTCGGTGGTAAGAGTAACAAATTGTTGTAGTTGAGTATCCAATGATTCTCCCCAGAATATGATTAAACATGTTGAATTTTTGTCTGATCATGTCTTTACAACTTTGCTTTATGTCTTCATTTCCCTTATAAACTTCAATTAATTTTTGCCACAAAGCTTTGGCTAAGTCATACTCACAGAATTCTTGAGCAATATCAAGAGATAAGGCCATTGTCGGTGTTGCAAGAGCCTTCTCTTCTTCCTCGATTTTCTTGAAATCTTCATCTGTGTAATTTGCAAAGTCTTTGTCAATAATGGTTCCATTTTCAAGAGTGGTAGTGATTCAAATTGGACCCTTCAGAATGTTGCGCCATATCTTGGAATCCTTCATTTTGATGTATTTTTCCATTCGGTACTTCCATTTAGGAAATCCTTCAGCTCATAGAAGACGAGGGATTGTTGTGGTAGTTCCCATGATAGAGTCTAACTCTTGATGAATTGTCATGTTCTATGATTCCATTTTTTTAATTTTTTTCTTAATTGACTGAAAATAAAACACAATCGAAAACAGAAAAGATTCACAACTGAAAAGGGGTTCACGGCTGTGAACCGGGTTACAATCAAGAAGTGTTTACGGTCGAACAAGGTTTAAAGGTTATCATAGTTTACAGATGAACACGGCTGGACACAGTTTATAGCTTAAAACATTTTGCGGCTGAACACAGTTTATGGCCAAACAAAGTTTATGTTTGCATTATAAAATGGTTTACAGCCAAAAACATAATGGGTTTACGGTCGAACACGAGTCTACGGCCACACAATGATGAACAGTTGTAGCGGAAAACACCCATAAATTCATAATAACAATTGATTTTGAGCAGATCTTTGATCCCCTTGGCCTTAAAATCAAGATTAACATAAAAAACTCAGTAACCAAGCTTGAACAATCATGAAAATGAAAAACACTAGATTGGCTCTGATACCAATTGTAAGTCCCCAAATCTAGAACGAAGTAGTGATCAAACACAAGAACAAGCTATAATCAATGAGAACCAGAAGGAATAGAAGCAAGAACTATCCAAATTGCACAAGTTTGTATTGAGCCATAAACTTCAGGTACAATGGAACACACACATACAACCGTTTACTCGAACACTGTATCTGACAAGACTGATATATGCATATATGGAATAGTAAACCGCAAACGGTTTGCAGCCGCAAACACGAACTGAACCGAAAACCCCAATTTTCGGTTCACCCAACTGTAAACACAATAAGTACCCAAACAAAGACTAACAAGACCTATACAGATGGATACCTAACCCAAACCATAAATATATGACCTTAGAACAATAGTTATCATGCTATTTATAATCGACCAACTTTCCAGATGTTGTATGGAAGGAATTGTAGGACCCCAGTTTATTGGGGTGAGGTTAGGCATCAAGTCATGAGGAGTAATGAGGTAGTGCGAAAGGCCATAAAATTAACACATCAGATGTATAAAGATTACGGATCGTGCAAAGTCGATAGAAGTGTATTGTTCATCACGGACGATCAGACCTCAAGTTCTAGACGAGGGATTTTGTACTTCTAATGGTGTCACCTTGGAAAGGTGTCATACGGTTTCGTAAGCAAGGAAAAGTAAGCCCCTGGTTTGTTGGTCCCTTTAGGATTACCGCCCACGTGGAATGTCGCATACTGGTTAGATTTTCGTAATCAGCTCGATCGGATCCACAACTGTTTCTACGTCTCTCAACTACAAAAGTGTTTAGCCAAAAAATATATGGTGATTCCATTGAATGATATTCAGGTCGATAAGCATGTGAGTTATGTAGAGAGGCCAATTATGATTCTCGTAAGAGAGAAGAATACCTTATGCAATAAGAAGGCGAATATAATGAAGGTGTAGTGGTAGCAGTAGAAGTTTTTTGAATGGACTTGGGAACCTGAGGTCGAGATGAGGGAGCATTACCCCGATCTGTTTGAGGCATAGGACTTTAAGGATGAAGTCTGATTTCAATTAGCAGTGAGTTGTAACATTCATATTTTTAGGTATGTAATTTCGAGAATCCTTTTCTATACTTTGGAAGAAATTAAAACGTGAGCAATGTCTCACTTACAAAAAATAATTATATATATATATATATATATATATATATATATATATATATATATATATATATATGAAAAACGAAATAGCAAGGTAAATCGAAAAGGGAATTCTAACATTATTTTTATAAAAAATGTACAAAAATCATCATAAGGAGAAATTTAGTTCCGTACACTCACAAAGCTTAGAAAATGAGTCTACTTTGTCCATTATTTTTACCATGACCTTAAGGAGTTCCTAATCAGAGTGAAAACATTCATTTTTGTAGACTAGTCTGAAAATGTTATAAAATGATAAGTAGTTTTGTAAAAATCACCATAAATTGTAGAAATATCATATGAATGCATGAGAGTAGTATTTGAAAAGTTATAGACCTTAACTATTTTAACATTGTACATTTTTGAAATCCAATAAGCTTAAGAAGGGCAAAACAGTCCGAGAACAGACCACAACTTTTCTGTAAAAAGCTAAAATTTAAGCTTAGATATGTTTAGCGACATAACTTGCATTTTTACTTAAAAAAGCCTTTAAACAACCAACTAGGATAGTGTGTATTCTCTCCCAAAACTTTTAAAACATAAAAGAGGGGTCATAGAAAACTCACTTTTATCGCGTAGAGTTATTCGGGTTGAGAATGGTTTGTGCGGTTTCTAGTTCCACACAAGTTTGAGATTTGAGTATTTTTTTTGGATGTCTTAACACATAAAGACATATATTTAAATGTATTTTAGACTTTTATCATTCTTAATTCATTTAAATCATTGGAATTGATGATAAAAAAAGAGCAGAAATCAAGAATATACCTAGCTTTAACTTGGATCTAAAGTATGTTGCCAAAAGGTGGTGGAATAACACAAGCTTTTAGAGAGGAAAAACATAAATTTCTTTGGGTTTTTTATTGTGTGAAAGTAGCTACATGTGGTATACTTTAAATCTCGAAAATGGGTAGAAAGATGAAGAACTTTAGGGTGTTGGTTTGATGCTCCAGAACATCCACTGTTTTGGCTATGTTGATGTTTTGAAAACCTCACACCAAAAGGATAAGAAAAAGTTAGTTTAGTCAATGTTTTGAATCTCAAATTTTGAGTAGAATAACAAATAACTTCCATGGGTATTTGGTTGTAAAAATATCAAGCAAAAGGAAGGTGTAGATGGATGAATGGTGGTTGAAACACAAAGGGACACCGACTCTTTGTTTCATGGTTTTCATAGCTTTGGAAGGGAGTTCTTGTGGCTGAAAATGAGATGAAGGTTGAGAAATTTTTCCCTGGAGTATTGGTTGGTGAAATGAGAAAACAGTGAAGGAGATATATCCAGATTATGAAGGAGGAGAGAGGTGAAAAAGATAAGGAGACAAGCCTAGACTAGCTTGTGGTGGGATGGGATTTCATGAGATGTTATGTTGCCTAGCCACTTGGTTGGTTGGTTTGTTAGGGATAGAATTAGTTGGCCAACTAATTATTAGTTAGTTAGTCAGTTAGAGGTACCACTGCTAGAAAAACAGCCTTTTACGATGCGTAATTCGTGTCGTAAAGCGCTCAGACGATGTGTAAATGCGTGCCAAGGAAGGTCTTGTCATAACAATAGACAACCCGCTTTTGCGCGTCGTCTATAGATGACATGCATTTTTGACACGCATTGTGTATCATTAAAACCCTTATCAAGAAAGGTCATGTCATAAACGAAGATGACACACATTTTTGTGTATAGTAAATTTAAATGTTATATATATATATATATATATATATATATATATATATATATATATATATATATATATATATATATATATATATATATATATATATATATATATTAATTTTTAAATGATATCTGCATTTAATGTCTCATAATAGAAATAAAATACCATATATACAAAAAATACAATTCACTGCATAAAATTTAATGTCATACAATTCTATTTCTTATAATATATAAATTTGCATTCATCTAATCTACTGTGTTTCATACAAAAAATCTATTTCATGAGGCTTCTTCCATTTCCTTTATTAGAGGTGAATCCAAGCACCTTTATTAGAGGTGAACCCAGGCACCTTTATTAGAGGTGAATCCAGGCAGCAAATGCAAATCATCACCACTTTCTGCTTCTTCTGCGAGCAGTAATATGGAGCGTGACTCAAGACACATGAGGCAATCATCTGCTCGAAAGCTGAATACATATGTTCTCCCAACACTAACATCACAAAAAAAAAAAAAACAAATAATAATGACAATAATTTGTGGCATTCATTACCTTTAGTATCCAGCCACAACTCAGGACCAATTCATCTGTCAAACACACAATCAACACTCAGCAAACCCACTCCACTACCCTCTCCAACAGCAAGTCAAATTAAGGATCATGCAAGTGTTAGTGCCAAAAAAATCAAAACATTCATCAATTTTAACGTGTTGGGAGGAGACCAATTAGGTAAAAGGATTAAGAAATTTATACCCACGGTTATCTTAGCAAACTTGGTTTGGAACACCTGCACAATAAAATATAGATCGTCAAAAGACTAAATGACTATCTGACCCTTACATTGAAAAGTCAAAGTGTGGATAGATAGGTTTGCTGGTGGTACCTAAGAAAAGTGTAGAAGGTTTTCCCGGTCGAGACTTGAATTCGGGATGAAACTAGACGCGACGATCACCAAGTTCAACAATCTGTGTAGATTAAAACAAAAAAAAATTAACTTAAAACTATTAAAATGCTAGAGTAAATCAGTCTTTTAAAAGTAACTATATACCTGATTAATTAGAATTCCCTCGTTCTCCTCAATCATTTCCATCACATAACGAATACTGTTCAAGCTTTCCACCTCTAGGCTGATGCTTTTCCACGTCAAAATCTTAACAAAAATCTGCATGTTACCTTGAAAGTCACATCATCTTTCAGGTTCTTTCCATAATCTTACCCCATTTTCCCCTTACAACTTTCATTCATTTTCTATTTTTTTTATTCAGGGATCATCTACAGGGACTTGAAACCAGAGAATATATTACTTAAAACAGATGGACATGTTGTATTGATTGACATTGATTTATCATTTAGAACTTAGTGTAAACCCCAAGTATGTCCTTTTCTATTTTTAAAAAAAAATGACTTATATTCTTACAAGATTCTGGATTTATTTATTTATTTTTTATGTGTGTTAATTTTAATTTTTGCAGCTTATAAAAGATCCTCAGCTTAAAAGAAGAAGATCTAGAAGCCAACCACCACCTACATTTGTTGCAGAACCTTCTACACAATCAAATTTATTTGTTGGGACTGAAAAATACATTGCTCTAGTATGAAAAGTACTTAAAGGGAATTTATGTAATTTCACTTATTTATGGAATTTATTTTACCCTTTGAAATTATGATGATATTTCAGGAAATCATAACAGGAGCTGGCCACTCTAATGCTATTGATTGGTGGGCCATGGGTAAGCTTATTAATTTTCATGCATTAAAATTTTTCTTTAAAATATACACAGTTTATTTGAATTACCTTCTTTTACCCATTTCAATACTTTAACTAATTTTTTATTATATTCTTTTTTATTTAAGGTATTTTATTATATGAGATGTTGTATGGCCATACACAATTTAGAGGAAATAATAGGCAGAAGACATTTACTGATGCAATGGAATCCCCTCTATGTCGCGAATCTTTGACTTCACAGTATCAATGTTTTCTGAGCTCTCCACCTCCAGCTTTATGGTCTTCCTTGTCAAAGTCTTAACAAAAACTGGCATAGTATCTCCTCCCAAACTCACAACCAGCTCTAATCTAGATCCATTTCAGATATGATGATCCGCTAAAGTTTTACCATCCTCGAGGATATATCCATCAATGATCAAAATATGTTGATGCCATGGAATCCCCTCTTTCATCTGATTCTTTACCTTCACATCACAAATGAAAGGTCATATATTATTCAACAACTGACAATTATTTATAATCTGTTAAAAAGGGTTAGGTCGTATGTGTCTAAATTCCGAATTTTATCCATGAACCATATTTCTTAGATGAGATATTATGAGATTAAGCTGTTAAGATCAAATGGGCAACATGGGGAATCAACAACCATTTATCACAAAAGCAGCAACAGCCAAAAAGGTCACAAATATTTGGAAGAAGAAGCTTGAGGTGTGGATTTCTAAATGACGGCTTCTGATTATAGCAATTAACTCAAATTTGGATACAATAAGTGTTAGGTTAGAATGACATTGTGAAATTTTGTTGTCAACAACTCAACATCAATGGACAACATGCAGAGACAACAACCATGAATAACAAGGTAACACAGTAGTTAAGAATGAGGTGGAAGCTTTTGATAACGGCAGCTAAGTAAAAAAATAAAGAGCCACATCGACACCAGATGCGATTAGAGGCAGTAAGATAAAATGATAGGAACCTACTGAACCATGAATTAAACAAAAGAAGGAGCCACATATGCAATAGATGCATTTAAGGCTTACATGATCATACACATATACCATGAACTTGTATTTATCACTTAAAACAAAGTATTATTGATTAATAAGACATAATAAGAAAAAGAGTAATTTTAAATACACAAGTAGCTCTAGTGGAAGACCATTCTAGCCACTAATCCTACTCCCATGAACATTTGACATAATATTTAAAGATGCCATGGGACTTGGACTTCATGGTGCAGTCGATCAAGCTCATTAAACCCCTGATTTGGTGGCATACTTGAAACCCTCACAATCTTTGAAAAATAAAAGGATTTGAAGCAATTACTTAAAAAGTGGTAGCATGAAATGATTTTAATTTCATCTGATTCATACATGAATGAAAATACCTCATCAATTCAACTTCAAAGATGAGGATGAAGAGAGTGACTTGTTCCAGATCTCGTGCAAAAGACATGATTGTGCTTGGGTTTAAGGCATGAGCATTTTCAGGGAAGGCAGCAGTTGCCTTTTCCTTTGGGTTGAGGGCAGAGGATGGAGGGTGACTTGTTCCAGAACCAAGCAAGAGAGACTCTATAGTTGCCATATAGCTCGCTTCTACAACTCAAAAACATAAAATCGTTGTCATATATGAATCTAATTGTTGGGTGATTAAAGGCGACAAGGCTGCGTTTGATTCTTAAAGAGAGGGAGGGCGAGAATGTAAACACAAACCTCACAAATTACAGAGGTTATCGAAGCCATTAAGGGAACACCAATGAAAAATCCAAGGTGTTATTGAGATAAAAACAAAGTTCTGTTTGTTTAAAAGCTATCGAAGTATCAAGGAATTTCCAATCTAGGAGAATTCAGATAGCAGATAGATCGGTACATGATTTGACTAGACAGGTTATTAGGAACAAAAGGGAAGTCAGTGCGTATACGATGGTGACAATGATAAATCGATTGAATGATAATTTGATAGAGCAAGAGATGACCCACTTGCTAGTGATATAGATGAACGGGTAGCTTAGACGAAGGTATTTGATGTGGTCAATCAGTTTTAGGAGAGAGACTGTGAACGATATCTATGATATAAAACAAGAAGAAGACAACGACTTGACTTTCTTGTTCACAAGATCATTAAACTAAGTTTTACCTAATATTTGTTAAAGAGAATCGCTTGAATGTGGGGTGAGAGAATAATGAAGGCAAACCTTGGGAGAAGATGGAGGAGTGTAGGAGAATGGGGGAGTGACAAAGCATCGAATGGCTGAAAACCGTAGTAATACTAATAATTCTTAGGGCACACAATTAGGGAAATAAAGATGACCCAGGGGCAGAAAATGGTGGAGAAAATAGGATAGCTGCCATCGTTGACCTCCGTATGGCTGCAGAGCTCCAAAAAGCGAGAAAGATCGACAACCACACAATCCTTCTAGGGTTTCTTTGGAAGATGATTTTACAAAATAATAAGAAGAAGGAGGACAGTATCAGGAAGGGTTTTCAATTTTTTTGGGATTTCATTCCGCCTACCTGGCAATTAAAAAAATGGAAGAACGCGCGTCCATGAAAAAAAAATTATAAAGAGACAGTTTTACACGACACGCTTTTTTCTGATAGGTGCCCTCCGTGTTTTTTTTTTGGATACTAATTTTAGGGCACGCGTAAATGTCGGTCCTCAATCCTTCAAAATTTGGAAAACTGACATTAATTTTTAGGGCATGCAATAAGTGTGTCCTTTTATCAACGCGTGTCATTGTTTGTGTGTCGTTAAAGGGTTGTTTTCTAGTAGTGTTCAATTTATGGAGATGGAAGATTTTCATCTCGAAAATTAGAAGAGGGATTAATAAGTATTCTTAGTAAAATGTCTTAAGTGATTAAGAACTTATTAGTTAAGTTGGTACTTCTCTCAACCATTTATCTTATCTTAATTGATTTGGACACCATATTCCATACATGAAATCACTTTAACTCATCACCCATAACTAGTTATCCACTAGATAATAATACATATGTACATATACATACATGTATTCTTAGTATAAAATAACATTGTAGTTATTGTGTGTTTGGACTTAAATGTTAAATTTATTGACCAAGCTATATTTTTATTTATTTATATATTAAGTTTATTGACCAAGCTATAATTTCGTAACATTTAACCGATTAACCATATTGTTCAACACGTTTCGTCACTTTGGTTAGTATATTTGTCAAATTTAGATCCTTCACAACTATTAAGCACAAGTTGTATATATAAATTAAATTACTCATCAACGGGAGACATGTTGATTCGGTAATTAAATTTGTTGCGTTCAAATAACGTTATATGCTAGTTTTCACAAACCGAAGTTCGTTCGTAGCCATACGACGTAATGGAATTTATCATTAGTTGCTTGTTTTATTTTTCACATGAACTTACGTAATAAAACATGTTAAATTCCTTCTACCATATTTAATAAAATAATCATATTTCTTAAAAGTCAAAATATAGTATCGTACGATCGTTCCTATATTATCCAATGTTACATTATGTCCTTGTAGAAGGGATATCACTAAACAATTTGGCAGTATTTCTTTTTCATCTAATCCTCGTGTTCCCAGGTGAATTCTAGTCCTCTAAGAGTTCCAACGAACTTTCACGATAGGAATACGACATTGTTTTAAATGCTTTACTTATTGATCCATAATGTCTATAGGTTCTACCTTGACTTTAGAGCTAGTCAGGCATTTGCCCACGTAAGTGGCAATCTCGACCTTCGTAATAGGCCATCAATATAATTTCTTCAGATCTAGATACATCTTGCTGGATCTAGGATGTCCAGAGTACCATTATCTGTGAGCTTCCTCCACAACTAAAATTCTAATGTTACCAAACTTCAATGTCCAGATTATGTTCGTGAAGCAAAGAGTTCCATCCTCTTTAAGCTCGAAATGTTTATCCATTCTCTGTAAGGCTTCTTTTCCAACATTCTCCTCTTTCAAAGCATCTAGTTGAGCTTCACGAATGTACCATCCGGATTTACAGGCGTGATAAAAATGAGTATTTATTTTCGAATTTGTGAGGAGTAACTCGACAAGTTGGCGCCTTAACTCGTCGAGTAGGATCGCGGCTTGGTGACGTGGAAAATGAATGGACTCAACGAGTCGGCAAGCTGACTCACCGAGTCAGTGTTGTTTACAAAAAGCCTAATTATCTCGGGCCTGGGCCTATTTAAAGGCACTTATAGCCTCCTTATCCCCTTCCCATCAGTGTCTTCGTCCCTTGAGAGAGACCCTAGAGCTATTTGTGAGCTAAAGAGGAGAGAGACGCTAATTGGAGGTCATTTATTTGAGAAGAAGGTCAAGGGTGTTTCAAGGATCTCAAAGTAGGGTTGGTCCATCAATTTTATCCTTATTTCAAGCTTCAGATTTAGTACAAGCTCTTGTATCCCTTGTGTTTGAGTAGATTTCCTTTGGTGGTTAAGTTAGGGCTTGTATCACCTTGTTGATGGGGTTTTGGGTGCATCCAAACCCTTTTTTCAGTTATGTTGTAGATCTGGACCTTTGAAGGTCTAGAGAACTTGAAAGTAGGCGGCCATGAAGGAGCAACCTTGGAGCTTTGAAGCTATGAAGATTTAATGGATTCATAATGATGTATATAGCAAAATACACCATGGATGAGCCTCAAGTTTATACCTTTACGTGACTTTTGGGTGCTAGACAGCAAGATCTATAAGTAAGAGAAACATATTTGACCTCAGAAGGTTATATGAGTGTTGCCATGGAGGAAACTCGCCAAGTCTATAAGGGAACTCGACGAGTCAGATTGGGTTGCCCCGCGAGTCACGACCAGTGGTAACCCGTCGAGGGGTACGTTCACACGACGAGTCAAGTGAGGATTTAGAAGGATCCAGAGGACACGCTTGGACTCGACGAGTCACCCATGTGCACTCGAGGAGTCTGGTCAAAGTTTGACCGTTGACTAGAGTTGACTTCAGATGAACTTGGGGTTTTGGTCAAGCTGATTCAAGAGAGGTCAGTGAGGGTTAGAATGGTCTTTTACTCGTTATTAGAGATGAGAACATGAGAGAATTTTATTAGAGATGTTATCGTGTTGATAGGAGGAGGCTAGGTCGTGATATTCAAACATGAGAGTTTATCCGACTTCATATGTGGTGAGTCTTCTCACTATACTTTACCTAGAGTGGTAATTATGTGTGACCGGAAGGTCTTATATGCTATGCGGAGTATGTGATATATGTTGATATGTGATATGTATGTGTTATGTTATGTTATGAGTAGCATAGAATGGACCGGAAGGTCAACAGGGTATGGACCGGAAGGTCAAGATGAGACGGATCGGAAGGTCCTTACGGGTAGGACCAGAAGGTCTACCAGGGTTGGGACGGAAGTCCCCTGAGACACATGGATCGGAAGGTCCCATAGAGCTATGGCCTTGAGTGGAGTATGTGTTGTATGTGGTATTTTAGGGAACTCATTAAGCATTTATGCTTACCGTGTTATGTGATATGTGTTTCAGGTAGGGTTGAGCGATCTAGTGCTAATATACTCAAGCGAGAATCTTATTTCTTTTATGTTGGGAGACATCATGGTTGGTACACCACACACACCGGAGAGCAGCGGTGTTAGCGATGATGAGATTCTCCGTATGATTCATGACGAGATGACCGTAGCGATCTGGAAAGGTAATCCAGCGGATTCTAAAGTAGCGAATTGAGAAGTAATGTCATGGTTTGAGTACCATGATAAGTAGCAGATTGAGAAGTGATGTCATGGTTTGAGTACCATGATAAGTAGAGAATGAGAAGTGATGTCATGGTTCGAGTACCATGATAAGTAGCGGATTCAGAAGTGATGTCATGGTTCGAGTACCATGATAAGTAGGAGATTGAGAAGTGATGTCATGGTTTGAGTACCATGATAAGTAGAGGATTGAGAAGTGATGTCCTGGTCCAAGTACCATGATAGTAGCAGATTGAGAAGTGATGTCATGGTTCGAGTAGCATGATAAGTCGCAGATTGAGAAGTGACGTCATGGTTCGAGTACCATGAGTTGTAGCAGGTCGAAAGGTGATGTTATGGTTCAAGTGTCGTGATGTGAGGTTGATTCAGAAGAGGGAACATGGTTCGAGTACCATGATTCACAGAAGATTAAGAGGAGATAACATGGTACAGGTACCATGATTCATAGTAGATCGAGAGGTGGCCATACGGTTTGAGTATCATGACATGTGGCGGTTAGTGTTTCTGGTTTTTTCCGGTTATTCTGTGGGGATTGTCTAGACTAAGATCAGAGGTGAATAAGTATGCGGCTAGAAGGCCATGATAAACAAGTTTTAGTGGAGAATCCATTGAAAGTGGAAATCAAGTAAGCTCCAAGGGAAGAGTATGGATGGTGCGTTATGGGAGAATATGATCTAGATTGGGCGACCGTCAGATAGTGGATAGGTAACTTTTTGTGACCTGAGTGGTGTTGCTTCTATTTCCTGTGGGAGACATAAGAGGTGTTGAGATTTCGGTTTTTAAGTTTGCGGGTCAGACCTATGGCATTGCAAGGATGGTGATCTTCAACCAGAGTATATGGCAGTAGGTATGTCACGA